GTACACAGTACACACATATATTATGTAAACAAAAACTTTAATTTTGGATGCGATTAATCGTTTGACAGCACTAATATATATATATATAATGCCCATTTTCTTAAGAGGAGGTTTGATTATGTAGCAAATTCATTATTTCTGTTTTATTATAGATCCCCAATTTACCAATACCTGTTTCTTCCTAATATTTCTATTAAGAGGGTTTTGTTTAATTCTTTTTGCATTAGAATTATATGGGTCATTTTAACTTGGAGGAAAAATCCATGAATCTCCACCTTGTGCTGTGGTGGTTTTGTTTCCATTCGGATTAGGTGGAGACAATAGGCGATGCCTACATGGTGGTTTCAGGATTGCCGGTACGGAATGGGAAACTGCATGGTCATGAGATCGCACGCATGTCCCTTGCTCTATTGGAGGCTGTCAAAACATTTAAGATTCGTCACCGACCTGATGAGCAACTGAAATTACGAATCGGCATTCACAGTGGTAAGAATGATGGCTTCAAAAGGTTACTTAAGTAGAACTAGTCTTTAACACACTGATGGACTTTTAATTAGCAAACAACTGACAAGGATTCTTTTGGTTGTAATGAGCTTTGTTAATCTATACTTTCTATTCATTACAGACATTCTGTCCATTCTCTCATAGAATAGAGCATTTTTTTAAATTAGCATGCATAGTTGCCACAGCATTTCCCATGTGTGTATGTGTTTCAGGTCCTGTGTGTGCAGGTGTAGTCGGGCTGAAGATGCCTCGGTACTGTCTTTTTGGAGATACAGTGAACACATCTTCTCGTATGGAGTCGAATGGAGAATGTAAGTACTTGCTGCTCCCATTACTACCAAACAGCAATTTGTGCTCATAACCATAGCAACTGTAAAGGTCAAGAGTGAAGGTCAGTTAGTGGTTTGAGCCATGACTCTATACTAAGGGTATGAGAAATATTGAGTGTCTTTAATTGATGCAATAAATTGGTATAGAAAAGACAAATATATATATATATTTAATTTGTTCCTAAATTATCTGGCCTTTTTTGAACGTCTGCTTCAATATTTCAACAGACATGCTTCTTCAGATGTTGTATTATCGACACCAGTTTTCCATAATGAAATTCACAAAGGCCAAACAAAAAAAAAAGTTGATGAAAAGATTCCATTGTAATTCAAATTGAATTATTTCCCCCACCACCTATTTCCCCATATAAACGCTGCCAGATAAATGAGAACTATCAGCGTTAGATAACACTTGACAAAAGCAAAACAAATTGCAATCAGGAAAGGGATGAATTGTAAGCATTGCTAATTTATTTCTCACAGGAGAAGATTAGCATATATGCCTGCCTTGACCATCACAATCCTGACTTAAACATTGTACTATGGCAGTTTTACTGCACACTGTGGCCCTTATGTGCATTTCCAATATTTTGGCCCTGCTAGACTGTTTTAGTACAGTCCTTCTTAAAATGGGTTGTTAATAAACCACATAAAAACTACAATTAAAACTGAAAAAAGCTTATTCAAAATATTAATAAATACAAAAATATGACATAAATAATGCTAAAATAACATTGTGTGTGCCAATATGATTGGCTCTTTTAATATACCTGCAGGTGGAAAGTACACGCGTAAATCATGTTTGCCAACACACATTAGTCAACCCGGTGAAGTTAGCTGTGCCAACGCAACTAATCAAGATTTATACACTAACACTCTAATCATTCACATGTTGTTATCCTGCAGCTCTGAAAATTCATGTGTCGTCAGCCACTCGAGATGTGCTGCAGGAGTTCAACTGCTTCCAGCTGGAGCTGAGAGGAGATGTGGAGATGAAGGGAAAAGGAAAGATGAGGACCTACTGGCTTCTGGGGGAAATAGAGAACGGTGATTGAGACAGTGGGGAGCAGAAAAGCTCCATGGGATCAACAGAGACACACTGACTCTAGTCAAACGCATCCACAGGGAAACCAAGCCAAGACTGTTCTGTTGGCCAAATGCACACACACATAATCTTCTACAGCACTAGATGATGTCTGACTTGTACATATGTACTTTAAGATGTTTCTTTGTAAGAACACCAGCTGCAGCTGTAAATGGAGTGAAGGTTGAGTGTGATTGAATATCGTCCCCTGGTGGCTTAAAATATGTTGGGCTAAATAAACATGATTACTTCCAGGGTGTGTGTGAGAAAAGATGTAAATATTAAAGATGATGACATAGATTTTAGCTCACCAAAAAATCACTTGGCTTTCATAATTCAAATGTTTTGAAGACAAATATTGATCACTTATTTACTTTTTTGTCATTTATTTCACTTGAGTAATATTTATAGATTCTTATATTAAAAATATTTTTTTCCGCCCAGTCAGACTCTTGCACACATATTCCGCATATTCTTCTTCAAGCCAACTAAAACACATTAATCTCTGGCTCATCTCCTGGATGTTTCTGCTGAATGAGAGGAGCTCCAGTTTCGAGAGACAGTTGTTGATTTTTGGTGTGAATGAAGCAGGAATTTTGTGAGTAATGCATAAATACAAAGCATAAATAATCCATAAAAATAAAACCTAACAGATTAATAACATTTTTTAACATTTTGCCCAGCTTTTTGCCCATTACACTTGCAATGTCTACAGGTATGTTACATGGGAGATTAATGACACTTTTTGATTTGACATATGAGAAGAACTTTGCCTTTGTATTATTTTATATGCTTGTATGTTTCTATGTGTTTCTGTTCCTGCAGGACGGTTTTACATGATTTTGCTTGAGAAAGTAAGTGTAAAGGTTCTTTGCAATGTGTTTAGGAGTGATAATAAAACCTCTGGCAACATAGTCATAGGAGCCAGCATACTATTTGCTGCATAGATTGAGTCTATCTCTAAATTACCCACATTAGGTCATGACTATAATGCAACATATTCATACAGACCCTGACATTAGTTTCTGACTATAATCAAGATTTGAATCCACTTATAGTCAGCTTTAATTTCTTACTTCTCTATTCCCTTGAGAGCCTGCACAAGTGCCTGCTTGACACTTAAATTACTTTCAGCCACCTTGAGTTTCTTCACCTTGATTTTCTCACTGATTTCAGATTGTCATTCCCATGAGCACTTAAAGGCGACAGATTCGAGAGTGCAGGTTAAGTATTACTCCGTGAGAGACTATAAAAATCTGCTCCTCTGTGTTTGATCTTCACATTAGGGACACGCATAACATAAATATTGTTGTGTCATATCATTTGAAACCCCATATAATACTCATTGCATCCATTATGGTGTTAAAAGCACTGATGACATTTAAACGTCATTGTTGAGGCACAGTTATGAAAGGAAAGACTTATGTTCAATTTCTGCTTAAGGTTTTTCTCTGATTACCAATGTTGTATTATATTCAGCATTCCATGGTTAGTCCAGACACACACACACACACACATACGTATATTTACATATATATATCAGTAAGACTTGTAATGTTTTTGAAAGAAGTCTCTTATGCTCATCACGGCTGCATTTATTTGATAAAAAATACAGGAAAAAAAACGTAATCTTGCAAAATGTTATTACAATATAAAATAATGGTTTCTATTTTAATATCCTTTAAAATATAATTTATTTCTGTGATGCAAAGCTGGATTTCCATCAGCCATTACTTCAGTATAAAGTGTCACATGATCCTTCAGAAATCATTCTAATATGCTGATTTATTATTAGAATTATCAATGTTGGTAACAGTTGTGCTACCAAATTTCTTTTTGTTTGTCACATGATCCTTCAGAAATAATTCTAATATGCTGATTTATTATTAGAATTATCAATGTTGGTAACAGTTGTGCTACCAAATTTCTTTTTGTTTTTGGAAACTGAGTGCATCCCTAATTCTAATAATAAATCAGCATATTAGAATATCTGAAGGATCATTTGACACTGAAGACTGGAGTAATGGCTGATGGAAATTCAGCTTTGCATCATAGAAAAAAATTATATTTTAAAGTATATTAAAATAGAAACCACTATTTTATATTGTAATAACATTTTGCAAGATTAGTTTTTTTCTGTATTTTTTAAATATATACACACATATATATATATATACATATATACACACATATATATATATATACATATATACACACATATATATATATATACATATATACACACATATATATATATATACATATATACACACATATATATATATACATATACATACATATATACACATGTATATACATATACATACATACATATAGTAATTTAGTATTAATTTGAAAAGAAGAAAAGGGAAATACCATGGCTTTATTTTTAATAAATCATTTCTCACCATTTCTCGCTCAAACAATATTTGTTCCTTATATAATGTACGTGTCATGTTTTATTTACATGATCAATACTCATTTATGTATCTGAAATTCTGAATACGTTTAATGGTAATGCATCAACATATCAGAAAGCATTTGAAGTGTAGCATTTGTTTGCATATATAGGCTAAACAAGACAATTATGACCAGACTGGACCAACAGTCTTAGAAAATAAAGGTTCTGGAAAGTTTCAGATGCACAAAACGTTCTTTCTATTGGAAAAGGGTTCTTTAGATTATTAGAATGCTCTAAACATAAAAAAGGTTATTTTAAGAACCTTTCACTGAAATATTGTTTTACAGTATGACAGCTGTATCATTCCTTTTGGAACCTTTATTTTTAAAAACGTTTTTATAATCACAAAGTTTCTTTCACATTTGTGTTATATATTGGAAAATGCTACAAGTGGATGTATACAAAGTCAAATTCACACAAGATAAGATGGATGCCAAACCTATGTGACATTTGTTGACCCTGAGTGTGAGATGGACATATGTGGTTGCTACTTAAGTTAATATCCAGTTTCTTTAGACTTCACCGAGACCAGGGAGCCGCCTTACGTAAATATTTTTTCCATCTTTTCTGTAGGAATCCATAAGGTCCATTGAGGTGAGCAGGTCTCGCTAGTTCTGAATGGCCACATGAATCTTGCAGCTGCAGAGGAGCTGTGTCACCTGAGGCCCGCGTTTTCACGTGTCCAACTTGCGAGAAAGAATTGTAAGACTGGTTGTTTGATTTCACAGGACCATGCGTAGTTAAACAAGGCGTATGTTTTGCATTTCTGAGAAATTCCTGCAATACACTTTCCTCAAAAAACAACGATTCCCTTCTGCAAACGCACGGACTTTCACCAAGTGTCAGAAAGCCATACGGAGTGGTCATTTTGCTGAGATGAGGCAGTGACATTGCAGCTCTGGTGGTCGGGTCTGACAAAATATGAGTCTGAAGATCATCCATGAAGCTCAAGTCGTGCTCCTCTGAGAACGGGCAGCAGCGCGTGATTGCTCGGACTAACGGTGATGTGGACCGGGGAATAGAGTGCCGCCGTCCACTCCCGACTCCAGCCTTCTCTCTTCCGCATCCCTCGAGTCTCGCCGGGCACAGTGAGGGGATGATGAACGCGGGAACAGTGTCAGGTGTCACCACCATGTTCCAAAGAGGCAAGTGTCTCGTTGCTGCCGGTTGAATCTGCCAAACGCTTGATTGGCGAGGTTTTTCTCGCTTAGCAGAGGCAAAATCACGAGCTGATAGATTTCTGCCCATTGTTTACAGCTGGCATATAACTTTCAAGTTAAATTTTGGTAAAGTTTTTTTTTCTCTGTTGAGCCAATTAATGATGGTAGATGAGGGCATTTTCTTTGCAGTCCATTTATTTTAAGATTTTTCACAGCTTATGAAAGTCTAGAGGAAATCTTGCACTGCTCCACTTCTGAACAAGAGCGAGAAACTCAAGTGGCAACTGAAGATACATATACAGTGCCGAAAGACTCCTCCCTTTATGATAACAAAATTAAAATGAGTCGTTAGTTTATAATATAGGCCTACTAGTTAATCTAATCTAGAATCTATCTAATTATTTTCTTTTTTTTCTTTTCTTAACCCCCTGGCTGTAAAGTTAAAAAAAATTAAATAAATAAGACTCACAGGCTGACAGCAGGGTCGAATAGAGTCGTAATAATAGGCTATATAGGCTAATTAATGTGCCTAAAATAAAATATAAGGAAACAAATCAGGTGTACAGGTAATAAAAATATAAAAGTTCATTATTGTGATTTTGAGGGTCTTTTCCTTGAAAACAAAACCCGTCAAAGCGCCATATTTTCATCGCTTTTTCTCGCAAAACGCTATTTAGATGATTAAAACGACTAAAGTAACGTTATATTATTGAAATATTGTCGTTGAGGGACACGGGCAGTCGACGTGTTGGATCTGAGGTGGTAGGAATGTGGGAATGGTCTGTCGTTGTCTGTGTTTGTGAGGGAAGGAAATGACCGCAACACCCGTCGTTTGTTGTGAAGCGGCGGGCTAATGTGTATTAGAAAGCCTCCGATGGCTACAAAAACTTGTTCGTGGGTAAGAGGATTTTTTACACTATGAAATGTGAACACAGCAAATAACATCCTTCCGTGTCACAAATGCAAACTGTTTATGTATTATTTAGGGGCGCAATGCTAACTTCAGTTAGCCAATAAGCTAACATCTGAAGAAACAAACATACATATTGTGTTCTCCATCGGGTTAACAGTGAATTAGAAATAAAAACACATATTTTACTGTGTACATTGTTCTGGTATACCAGTTTTGTTGTTGTTGTTGTTGTTGTTGTTTTTTTTACTGAATATAAACACTTCTGTATTTATAATTTATTACGTTTATGAATGGGCTCTGTTCCATACTAGATAGCTGTCTAGGTAGGTGGCTCGCTGGGTTTTTAGGCATAACCATAAAGAATGTTGTACTATTAGTTTTGTTTATCTGACTGTTAATTAATTGGTTTATTTTATAATTTCTTGAATACACACTTTTGGGAAACTTTTGAAGATTAGTTGCAAAGCATTTGTTTGTATCACTAGTTTTTCTTTAACGTTACCTGTCTTTTCAGGCTCAGAGACAGATTGAACATGGGGTGGAAACGCAAGTCTTCTTCTCCAGAACCACAGCCAAATCCTGCCAAAGCATCGAAGAGAGAATCTATCTGCAGGTCTTCTTTCTCTGTCAAACTGCCTCCTAGTTCCTGGAGAAGAAAGGTCTCTACCCCCACTAAGAACAAGAGCTGGACCTCAATCCAGACGCTGTCTCCAGACAGAAATTTTCATCCATCCAATTGCCATGAGCAGAACTTCAATGCAGGTAGTGTAGATTCAAGCAGTATTACTTGAATGAAGTTTAGACCAGAGCTTGATATTTGGTTATTTCTTGTGTGTGTGTGTGTGTGTGTGTGTGTGTGTGTGTGTGTAGGCCATGGTGAGGACGACAGTGACAGTGTCCAGTCCTCCTCTCCAATTTCATCCCCACTGCAGTCAGAGGAGGATGCAGAACTGGGTCTGGTCATCACTGTGGGTGAGTCAGACCATTTAGCTTTGCCATTAACCACACGTCACTTAGTTATGTTACTTTCTAACTAAGATAAACATCACTATTGTATTTAGGGGTTTTCCAAAGTCTGATTGAAGTCTCATTGCTTGTAAACCTTTAGATGAGGACAGGTGTGAAGGGGAGGAGTGGCTAAAGAAACAGAATGGAGTGAATGTAAAGAAGAGTGCAATGACTCAGGTGGAAGGAGAGATCCCTGAGAAGAATGGAGATATGGAGAAGACTTTAGAAGAGCTTGAGGAAGAGGATGAGAGTGAGGAAGAGCTGAGGAAGCTGGATAGAGATTTAACACTCAAATCAAAAAAGCTTAAGCTCTCCTCTGTCAACGTTCGTAACATCATCCACGTGAGTCTGAGTTCAATTAGATGGAAGTCCGTTTAAATTTTATGCGTGTGTTCTTGAGACATCAAACAAATGCTCTTGTAGTAATGAATCAATCTGTGTGCCTTTAAGAAAAATGCTACCATCAAATGTAGTTTGAAAATAAATTACAAACATTTTAACACATCGTTTTTTTATGTTTGACCTCAGGAGGTGGTAACCAATGAGCATGTTGTGGCCATGATGAAAGCTGCTATAAGAGACACACAAGATATGCCCATGTTTGTAAGTTCCTCCTTTATTTAACTCTTATAGTGGAAGTCTGTTTGAAAATGGTAATTTTAATTTGATTTGTATTTATATTCTGTTTAATGTAGGAGCCTAAAATGACCCGTTCTAAGCTCAAAGAAGTTGTCGAGAAAGGGGTGGTGAGTATGTTTTTTTTTTTCTCCTTATGAGCAGGTTTTGAGGATTTTAAGCTCTTATATGTGAGGGTGCTGATTATTTTTTTTTTCCCCAGGTGATGGGCAATTGGAACATCTCTCCAATAAAGAAGCCAAGTGAGATTAAGGTATCAGGTTGTTGTGATGTATCACCTGAGAGAGTTTGTGTTGTTTGTTTTTTGATTGATGTTCACTGCTAATTGGTAAATGGGACTCTCTCCTTAGCCACCCCAGTTTGTGGACATTCCCCTGCAAGAAGAGGAGGACTCCTCTGATGAAGAGTATTGTCCTGATGAAGACGAAGAAGATGAAACAGCTGAGGAGGTGCATAACATATATAATATACTTAATTAAAAAAAAATTAATTAAAAGAATGCTGAAAAAAAAGAATCCTGAAAAAAATGCACAGCTCTTTTCACAAAAATATTAAGCAGCACAAATGTTTTCAACATTGATAATAATAAGACATATTTCTTGATCTCCAAATCAGCATTGTACAATAATTGCTGAAGGATCATGTGTCACTGAAGACTGGAGTAATGGCTGCTGAAAATCACAGGAATAAATTACATTTTAAAAATATATTTAATTAAAAAAAGTCACAAAAGTACATCTTTACAAGATTACCAGCTCTGCAGTAACAGCCTTTTGACTGATTTATTAAAGAACAATTTTTTCTCAGACTTTTTTGGAGAGTGATGTGGAGAGCACGGCCTCCTCGCCACGTGGCAGCAGACGTTCATCCTCTCATACACCTCCCCAATGTGATGATGCCAGCAACAGCCCCAGACTGGTACTTTACACAGTATTACAATCATGTACACACTTATATTTAATTCTTTTTACACATTGTACAAGGTTTAAGTCTCTTTTGTCTCTCTTTCTTCCTCCTCCATCCCTGTCACAGAAGCCCAAGCTCTCCAGGCACTTGAGAGTTGAAGCAGTGCCTATGGGTCCCCCTGCCCCACCTCCTCAATCCAGTGGCCCCTCACGGTCCCTTAGGGCACCTGACCCCTTCATTGAGAAACTACATGCTGTGGATAAAGAACTTGAACTCGGTCCTCTCTGCATGGAGCCTTACCAGGTACAGAATCACATACTCACAAAAAATCTCTCTGCCTAGTATATATGGTTTTCTCTCTAAAATCAGTCTGTCTGTCTGCCAAAGACTTTGAGCAATGGTGGTGGAGGGGAGCCAGATGACAGTCTGGTAGCTTGTCGTACTCGGTCAAAACGTCCGCTGAGGGACGTCCCTCTGGATCAGCTGGAGGCAGAGCTCTGTGCGCCGGACATCACGCCAGATATGTACGATAACGTCTCCACACCAGAGGACCGTGAATGGACACAGTGGCTGCAGGGACTCATGACCTCTAACCTGGACAATGAAGGTCAGCAGGTGTAGTGTCTACTGCACAAGATTTTCACAAAAAGTATTGTATTTCCTTTTTAATTGTAATTTTTGTTAATATGAAATTTATATATATATATATATATATATATATATACAGTAGGGGTGTAACGGTACACAAATATGACGGTTCGGTGCGTACCTCGGTTTTAACGTCATGGTTCGGTATGATTTCGGTACAGCAGGGAGGAAAACTAAACTTTTTTTTTGTTTTTTTTTTGTTTAAATAGTTTACTGAACAAGTTGCTCTTTCTTTAAATACATTCAGTTATAGTTAAAATTTTCTTAGTGATAAAAATCTACCTCAGCTTATGCTTAAAACTATAGGGAGCCCTTTTACATTATAAGGTTACCATTAGGCCTAACGTACCGAACCGAAAGACCCGTACCGAAACGGTTCGGTACGAATACGTGTACCGTTACACCCCTAATATACAGTATAATAAATTAATTTAATATAATTAAATTAATTAATTATAAGGTTCGTACACAATTTCTTAAAGTTGCAAGAAGAAACTCTACTCCTAAAACTATTTTAAACATTACCCAAAATGACAAATAATAAATATTTAGCAAGGATGCATTAAAAGTGAAAGTAAAAAAATTTGCATTGTTACTAAAGATTGTTACAAAAACTTTAAATAATTGCTATTCCTTTGAACATTCTATTCATCAAAGAATCCTGAAAAACTGTATCTCAGTTTTCAACCTGTTCAACTGTTTTCAACATTGATAATAATAAGAAATGGTCCTTGAGCACCAAATCAGCATATTAAGATGATTTCTGAAGGATCATGTGAAACTAAAGACTGGAGTAATGGCTTCTTGAAAATTCAGCTTTGTGATCGTAGGAATAAATAGCTCTTTAAAATTTTAAAATGGAAAACAGTTGTTTTAAATTGTAATAATATTTAACATATTACTATTTTTTACTGTGTTTTTGATCACATAAATGCAAATACAAATTTTGATCATAAAATACTTCTTTCCCCTAACATTTGAATGGTAGTGTATATAATATTAATTGGGGCTGTTTTTGACACTTCTCATTCTTGTTTACTGGCCTGGGCTGAACCAGTGAACCTCCAAGTGCGATCGTGTCCTTTAAACAAATCACTATCATCAAGCCTGTTGCACTCAGACAGATGCTGTCAAAGCACTTTTCTTAAATGTCTTAATGTCTTCCTCTGAGTGTGAGACTAGTGTATGTGTGTGTGTGTGTGTCAGTGGTTAAGTACTACCTCTGTTTTTTCCACTCATGTTTTTCTTCCCCTGACCTTTTCCCCAGTTTCTTCTCAGCATCACTGCTCTACGTGTGTGTTCTCACACATGAAAGGTACAGTTCTTCTTACAATTCCATCTCTGTATTTCAGAAGAGGCTGATGAAGATGATGACCCTGAATATAACTTCCTGGATGATTTAGATGAGCCAGATTTGGAGGATTATCGAAATGATCGTGCTGTTCGTATCACAAGTGAGTTTTTCTACAGGTTGTAGATTGGATAAAACACTCAGTTTAAAGTATTTGCTTTTAGTAATGATTTCATCTCTTTTTCAGAGAAGGAAGTCAATGAGCTCATGGAAGAGCTGTTTGAGACCGTAAGTGGACTTAACACTAACAGGAACAAACTAAGTCCAGTCACTCCTCACTCATTTTCCCTCCTGTTTTATAGTTCCATGATGAGTTGGCTGCCAATGAACAAGATGAGGAGGGTCATGAAGAAGATGAGGAACGTGACGAGGAGGCCAATGACGCACCACAATTCAATGTCCCTCAAGCCATTAGGTAACACACACACCCCTAGTTTAGGACTCAATAATAAGGATTTTGGCCATTTCTATGGACATTCTGTCCTTATTTACACTTCCAAATTTTTTATTTATATATTTAAATATGTTTTATTTACATTTTTTTTTTTATAATTAATTTTATATTGTTTTTCAATTTCATATAACTTTAAACTACTAATTTGTAAGTGTATTACATTTTACATTTACTATTTAGTTTGAAATATAATTGACAATTAAATGTTATATTTCTTAGTATTATTAATATATTGTTAATATGATTATATTATACGCTATATATGTGTGTGTGTGTGTGTGTGTGTGTATATATATATATATATTTCTTTCCTTATATTATGTTCAGCCTGTATTTCTTTCCTCCTGTATTTGCATTTGCTTTCTGATAAAAAAAAAAGTATTTTACCATATACAAGATACAAAGCAAGAAGAAATATTAATACACTCTGAAGATGAGTCCTCCCTTTGGGACAGAGCAGCAAAGGAGTGCTGTGTCTGTTTGGGTAGGGAGGCAGAGAAATGCTCTAATGTGTCCAGTTGTTTCACTATAGACCCAGGACATGGAATGGACACTGCAGAGCTACATGTACACACTCACTATAGACTGAACACACACACACACCCTCCCCCCACTGCTGGGTACTGTACAGGTGCAGGTGTGTACGTCACTGTGGACGTGCTGAAAAGATTTCACCATATGCCTGTGCTACGTGCAGAATCCAGGCACAGAGGCTTTAAATAGAGCTCCTTTACTGGAAAACATAACGGCTAACTGCATGTATGCACACACACACACAAACAAACAAACCTCTGACACCGACTGAAAGGGTGTCCCTTAAACTGTATGCCCCTTTTTCTGATGTTATGATCATCAACAGTACCTGTCTGAGCCCTTATTTAAAACTCGTCAGTCACATCAGGCTTGTCATCTCTGGGTTCTTTGAGTATGTATGTAATTAGCGTTGTTACGGAAATAGCACCGTGTCAATCAGCACAAAACTGTCACGAGATGGACATGTCACACTGTTGCAGCTTATTATTTTCCCTGAGAAGGGGTCATTACAGCTTGTAGTGTGTGTGTGTGTGTGTGTGTGTGTGTGTGTGATCCATGTGCGTCACTGTGTTCTGGGTACAGACAGAGATGTGGTTGATGGGGGTTTTTAAATGTTAACGAGATACATTGCGTCTGTGCTGTCTTTTCCACACTGAGAGGGAGTGTGTGCACAGTGTCCCTGTAATGGTCATTCACTAGAGTACAGAGTGTAAGAGACTTGGCCTGTTTAATTTGCTTGTCATATTTGATGATTGACGTAACAATGATTTGATTTTGAATTAATGTCAGCATATATGTAGAGAAAAATATACAAATCAATGAGTCATAATTATGTTGTCTGCTGATAATTCTACTATTAAGCAATTAGTATATATGCAGCTGTCAAATTACTCGCATTTAGGCTTGGCTCCATTTTTCTATGGAATGCCCACTTTTCATGATTCTGTCATTCTTACTCTTGACCCACTTCATTTTTCTCCTGGAAATGCTTCACAATATGGAATTAAAATGGATAGTGATTTATTTGTTATTTTTTTATATTTGTTATTAATACTTTAGTTCTGGTACTACAAAGGTAGGCTGAATGGAAAAATTGAGAAAAGAGCATGTACAATTCAATAGCCAATATCCAATTACAGCTGATAAAATAAATGAGAAAATCTTATATATTGCCCAGTAAGCGATAAGTAACTGATATATTATGCATCCCTAGTTAAGAATACTATTTCAAAATAATTGAAATGTTATGTTTCATCAGAATGCCAGTTCAACAGATTTTCTTTGCAGTAATTATAACATCCCATTGTTAAAAACATCCCATTCACTGTGTTTCTATTTGTCATCAGGTTTGAGGAGCCGCTGGCTCACATGTTGACAGCATGCAGGCGGACAGTCAGAGGGCAGCTGGACGCTTTGCAGCAGCGACGGGAGAACCAGATTCGGACCACCCAGCATGCATCTGGTTCTGGCATTGTTCTTGTGCAGCCCAGCTGTCCTCTGGTGGTCATGTCTCCTCAGAGAATGCAACTGCAGCAGCAAATTCAGCAAGTAAGAGAGTTTTAAACACCACCATGCACAATGAACATGCATAATTTACCTTGGTCACAAGGATTTAGTCTTTTGCCCAAAGAATGTTACTTTTTGTCTGATAGGTGTGATTCATGCTCTTGTGTGATCTTGATATTTCATTTTGTCAGTAACTTTTTTATTTTTTTATTTTTTCCCTCCTCTGCAGCATGTCCAGTTACTGACACAGGTCAATATGCTGTGCAACCCAGAGGAGGCACTACAGAGTGAAGCTCAAACCACCAAACATTTCCTGGTAAGAAAATTGGGGATTAAACACACCAGTGTCTTGTTTTTAGAAACTTTAAGGAACAAGAAAAGAATACTGAACATGGTTTAAAAGCGACCAGCGGAAAGAAAATTTTGTTGCTGCTTGAAAAATTCTTGTTTTTTTATCATCTTTACTGAAAGTCAAAAAGCAGTACAACTACAACAAGTACAAATGCATTTTATTTCTTCTCTGTGATAATTCAAATATCCTATTCCCCTTTATTACCTTTAAGAGATTGTAATTTCCAAGATATTATGATTTACATAAAAAAAATTTGCATACAATGTGATATTATAAAGCAGTTTTAACACCTTTGACACAGGACTTTAGAAGGAAAACAAAAAAGCTTTATGCCACATTCAAAATTGTCACATTTTTAAAATTTTATTATATTATTATCAGTGATATTATATGCATTTAAATTTTTTTTAAAATACATTTTTATATTTGTTTATTTTTATATATTATATAATAACATTTTATTATATCAAAATTAAATTGGACTATTTTCTCAAAAGTTGTTGAGAGTTTGCTTGACAAGTTGTAATTTTACCTTTAATTGTTTCCTGTCCTGTGTCGACAGGGTGAGTTGCTGTCATTTGCGGAGCGGGCAGAGGAGGAGAGGTCAGCGGTTAATCTGGGTTTTAGAAGCATGTTTAGGGTGTGTAACTTGCAGTCCTCCCTCAACTTGTTGGAGGAGTTAAAGCAATGTCCCTCTCCTCTGTATCTTCCTCCCAAACCCATTCGCCCAAACTCAGGTTAGGCATCTCCTATCTATTTCATATGACCCAATTAATCAAATCAGTCACACATGTGTAGATGTGTATATATATGATGGCAATATGTTTTCTTTGTTTCTGTAGCTCGTTCGTACCCATTGCTCCCTGCTGGTCTTGCATGGTTGTTTGCCACACGCTCTGTGTTTCTGTACCCAGAGCTTCTACCACACTGTAGACTGGATCCAGTCCTGCATCCCCCACGCAGCAAACATTATTACACCAAAGGAGAAGACGGGTACAAATGGCTTTGACTCAATTACAGGATTGTAATTGATTGTATAATATACTGTATAAATATTTGCATTATTTATATGTAGTATATCATCTAGTGTCTCATATATTTCAGTTTTTAAAAACATGTACAAAAAAGTCCCCATTAATGTGGAAAGTTTTGGGGGAAAAATACGTTCTCTGAACTATGCACATTTCCCATGGCTTTTCTACAATAGAGAAAAGGTATTTCTGTATCGAAGGTGGAAAGAAAAATGTATAGAGTTTTTTCTGATGTCTGGGAATTAGTACTTTGTCTGAGAAGTTAGAATTCACCTTTTGCTTGCAAATGTCACACCAATAATACTGGAATAGGTCAGTGAAGGAAGAAATGTTAATATGGGCTTGTTTCAAAACAAGCACTTTGTGGAGTTTGGGCAACTGACACCACCTAGCAAACACTTACCTTCACCCAGTTTACCCTCTGCCTCTCTCTTGTCCCCTGCTCTCACCTCTCTACAGTCTCTTAGTCTTGGGGTTAAAGCACTTCAATCAGACAGAGTTCCCATATCACCTGATGAGCCGCTATCTGATCCGGCCTAAGAGTCAGGAGCAGCTGCGTGTGCGTGTGAAGGACATGGTGGCCCCCAGAGCCCTGCACAACATCATCAAGGTGATCTATCTGTTCATCTACCTATCTTCATATACGCTAGTATATGAATTGAGCCCTGATTGGTGGTGGACATTTGCTCCATGGTTTCCCCAGTTTCTGTAAATTATCTATGATTTCAACACCTTCTGAAACCACAAATTAAAATCATAATACTTAATCATGAAGAATGGAGGTTAAAAGTTATGACAATGTAATATTGTTTTTCTTAGTTTTACTGCCGGAATCGTGTGGTTACTCCTTTGCCAGTGATGTGCAGACCTGTGGTGCCTGGAGAGGAGCGCCCTCCTGTGGAGAGAGAGCAAGACGTCATGCCTAACTGGCTGAAGGTATCACAACTTCCTAGACCAGTGGTCCTCAACCTACAAGGCCCCCTAGGTGGACCTTCAAAGACAATATTTGAAGGCCGTCTTATTTAACTGATATGTACCGCTGGTACTTCTGTTGTAATAAAAATAAGCTGAACAATTGTAAATTTTTTAATGTTCTTTTTTAGCATTAACATTGTTAAAATAACAAAATTCAAATTATTAAGACTTATTGGGCCCATCTGAATGTGGTTAAGAATCACTGCCCTAGACTCTTTCACTAAAACCATTATAAAACATTTTTATCTGTCTGATTTTAAGTACACTCCTGATGGTTTCAAATTTCTTTACAGAAAAGCTTGCCATACATCCATAGGACAGTTTGTCAGGGCAGTTTAAAGGTGACCTCCACCACCAAATCTCCTACCCTTGTCTTCCCGAAAGGAACACGCTACCCACAGTTCCTTCCTAAAGGTGTCACTCTGCGTCTGCACCCTTCACAGAGACCAGTTCGCCCTTCACAGCCCAAATCTCGGCCTCTACGTGGTTTCACCCCTCCTACTCTCGTACCACTGGCTAAAGCGCCTCCATGTCCTACAAGTTCAGGAAATGTATTGACCAATGTCTCCACACCACTCCCAGCACATGGTGTAATATTATTAACCCAAGCGCCTAGCACTCCTATTAATGGGGTGTTTCCATTGGTTCAGCCCCCTTTGACCCCTGCCCATGGGACTGTCCCACTGAGCACCTCTTGTCCTGTTAACTTCCAGTATGTTACTCCAGAATTGGGGGTTGGTAATCCAGCATACCCTCCTGCCAACTTGCCCCCTACTGCAGTCCAGAGACCCCCAAGTGACATCCCTCTACTTAGTACTGGGACAGTCAAGATGTGTGGCATGCAACAGATGTCCAGCAAACACAATAAACGGACCATGCCTAGAAAACTTGCTCCTTTGAGACCAGCCCTCCGGCTGCCCCAGCTCTTGCCCCTGTCCTCTGGGAATATGGGAAATGTAAGCAACCCTGCTGTCATTATGGATCAGCCAATATCCTTGAATGTCACACAGAATTTTCCATCAGATAACGTCATTGTTATCAGAGCCCATGAAAATGCTGGCACACACAGACTGGTCACATCTCCCTCTCAGGATGTTGTCGTGCAGGTAGTTCCTGGGACACATGCCTTGGAAAACGCCTCAAATCCCTACATTGGAAAGACGACACAGAGATCCAAATGTGACTCTTTGCAAACCATGAAGGACGTCACTCCCATACAGCATAGTGTGGAAAATGGTCAAAGGAATGTCTTCTCTCCTCTGACAGCATCACCAGCAGCAGACAGTTCTCCGTTTGTTCTGGTTCAAACTGTTTCATCTGCAGGTGTTCCTCAGTTTGTTCTTCTGCCCCAAGACTCCATCGTTCTGAACCAACCTGCTCCACTTCCTGCTAAAGGCACACCAGGAAGTGTATCCCAGCAAACTAACTGTTCTGACATTCCTACTAGCTCCATAGTCCTAAATGACAAAGGTAGGACTGAGGTGCCTTTAAAAACCATAACAACAGTCACATCATTGCCAATTAGAGGAGAAGATGCTGGGGAAAGAAAGGACGAAGTTGAGGAAATGGTTGGTGACAGATGGGAAGAGGAAATGGCAGGGGCTTTGTTTGGTAGTCCTCTCCTGGCACTCTCGGAGTCCTCCTGCAGCCCTGACTCCAGTTTGACCAGCACGGACAGTGATGCTGAAGCTTCCGCGAGGGTGGAGACGGATACTGTAGAGTGTCCTCCTATCCAATCCACCTCTGGCAGACAGGAAACACCAGGAGTGCGCAAACACAGCACTGGAGATGGAAAGGAGCAACAGTCCAGTGGGAACGAGGAGGGACGGGGCGAGGAGAGGGAAAGTGGGGGAAACGGAGAACATGATGAAGATGAAGGCGAGAAGAACGGTGATGGAGAAGGTGGCAGGAAAACAGATGGGGATGGAAGTGGCGACAAAGGAAGGGAAGAGAAGGATGGAGATGGAGAGAGGGATGAAGAAGAGGAGGATTTTGATGATCTCACACAGGATGAAGATGAAGAGGAAGTGATGTCATCAGCATCAGAGGAATCTGTGTTGTCTGTTCCAGAGCTTCAGGTTTGTGTAAATAAATTAAAACTAAATTACTAAAATCAGTCATTTTAAATGCTACATGTGAATTTAGGCATCACAACATTAGAATGTGCAGGATGAAAATACATATTCATTTTTAGATTTGCGAGATTGCATTTAAAAACATGATTAATTTTTAGTGTTTTCAAAGATTAAGTGAGCATTGGATGACTAATATCTAAAAAAAAATATTAAATGAGCATGCACAATTAAATACATAATATATAACAGATACCAATAAATTGATCTATAACCGATTTGGTACTGATATATCATGCATTCCTAAATAAGTATTATGCTTAAAAGCTTGAGTCATTGTATTCCATTTCTTTCTAGAGTTTTATTAATTTGTTTCCTCTGTGTTCCCTCGGTAGGAGACAATGGAGAAGTTGACCTGGTTGGCATCAGAGAGGAGGTTGTGCAGAGAGGGAGACTCTGAGGAGGACAATTCACCCACGTCCCCAACATCCCCCACCTCCCCAAACTCCCAAAACTCCCCTGCATCCCAGAATTCGCAGGAGGAGAACTCAGACGATGAGGATGATGGTGCGATGAAGGGTGATGAGATGGAAGCAGGGGAGGGAGAAGGTGGAAAGCTTCCTGAGGGAGAAGCGTTGCCCGGCGACGACCCTCCACAGATCAGCGGGAGAGGAGGGGGGCGTGGAAGAGGTCAGCCCAACTTTTAACACCTGATTATGTTGTTTTCAGGGATGTCAGTTGAATTGAGCCCTAGTTGGTTAATTTTTCAGTATGAATTGTTCAGTTGATTCAGTTTATTTACTCTTACAGGCCGTGGTCGCCCACCCCCACGTAGGCTGAAGCGTGGTCGACGTCAAGAACGAGGAAGTAAAGATGCCTCAAAGCTACTTCTGTTATACGATGACCACATCTTGGACAACGATCCAATGAGAGAGAGCAAAGATATGGCTTTTGCCCAGGCTTATCTCAACCGGGTCAGACCACTTGGATATTTGACTCACTAGTATCACCTTTATATCGATTAGAGAAACACTACTTGTTTCTCTAATTAGTGAAAAGTGTTTCACTAATTGTGCCTCTCTCATATTCCTTCCATTTCTTTTGCTGTTGTAGGTGCGTGAGGCCTTGCAAGACATTCCTGGTAAGGTGGAGGAGTTTTTAGGGCTGCTTTATGAGTTTGACCAGGTGGGGGAGAGTTGCAGTGTTTTAGAGTTGTTCTCCCAGCTGAAGCTTCTGCTCAAAGACTGGCCTGAGCTCCTCAAAGACTTTGCTGCTTTTCTTTTGCCTGAGCAAGCTCTGGAGTGTGGACTGGTAAATACAATCATTTTATAGACAGAAAAGTGAATTGTTCAAATAAGTGATTTAAGTAATTTAATCACTAAAAAAGAAAACAACTGTTTCTATATATTCGTTCTCCCATCCACAGTTTGAAGAGCAGCAAGCCTTTGAGAGGAGTCGTCGATTCCTGCGTCAGTTGGAGATCAGTTTTGGGGAGAATCCGTCTCATTACCAGAAGATAGTGAGAGCACTGCAGAGTGGAAGTCCTCTCAGTCCTGCTGGGATTGAAGAGGTATGTATAGATGTATTCTTGAATAAAATGAAAGATTTTCTGCACTGTCCTATAGAGATACGCACATTGTCTGTTTGACCCGTAGCCTAACCCATTAGTTAGTTGGAGAAATGGAGATGCTAACAGTGTTGCCAACTTATCGACTTTGTCGCTAGATTTAGCGACTTTTTTTTTTTTTTTAAAAGCGCCTAGCGTCAAATCTTTAGGGTTTGCCCAAACTTTATTTCGTTTCTGAGACTCGCTGGTACTGCCGCGTGAGCGCGAGGTCTCTCTTTCCCGCTGCGCACACACCTCTTTCTCTGCGTCTGCTCTGTTCAAGCGAGTGGCAGAAGAGCAGCGCTTTCAGTTAAAATATATATTATGTTGCTTCTCTAATTTTACATGCAAGTATAGCCGAAATCACAGCACAGCTATTGTCTTTATCTTATGTGTAGCCTATTTGATTTCATCAGATGACTGCTCGATTATCAGGATTTTTGTGCAGATTAACATCTTAGGACGAGGAGGTGGTTATGTAGTCTTAATGGGTCGAGTTTCAGTCACTATTTCATATTCATTCCATTGTCTGACAACTGAAACAGTAAAATATATCAATGAAAATTGTTTAATTGAGAATTTAGCTGCAATAAAATACAGTATGTGGCCACAGAGAGGCAAACAAATGTAATAATAAATGTACATTTTGCATGTTCAGAAGAAGTGAGCTGCCCTGTCCTGCAAATAATGTAAAACAGGCTTGTGTAAGTATTGCTCAGTGCAAAGAAAGAGAAGTAATGGGGACCTGGTATTTCTATGTTCTTTTTTTTTTTCATATGTCTAATAGACATGTTCATTGAAAAACATCTATGACCTATGAAACATGTCTAGCCTTCATGCTCTATGTTGACTATGGTTCACTAATAATAAACATACATTTGCATAAAGCATCCTTATTTGTCCATGCCCTTGTTGATTAGAGTATTAAAAACGTGAAAAGTATTAATTTAAGGTACATTTAGAACAGATAAAAAGGTGCGATTAAGTTGCGATTAATCACGCGTTAACTCATGACAATCATGCAATTAATCACCATTAAATAATTTAATCGATTGACAGCCCTAGTTCAAATAGAAAACAGCTGGTTTAAATTGTAATATTTTGCAGTTTTACTGTTTTTACTTTTCACTGTATTTTTTGACTAAATAAATGCAGCCTTGGTGAGCATGAGTAACATTAAAAATCATATCAACCCCAAACATTACGTCAAAATGTGCATGAAATAGCATTGCTTGATACTATTCACTCATTTGTCTGTAGCTTCACAAAAAACTCTTTTTTTTTTGACTGTTTATTGTTTTTGTTTTCCTAAATCCCATTATTTCTGCTTTTGTAACTCAGCTCAAAGCACAGATGGCCACCCTTCTTAAGGGCCACACGCACCTACAGGGAGAATTTTGGATGTTTTTTGAAGAGATGCGTCCAACCCCAGCACGTCCTGGCCAGTTTGAGGAGGCAGTTTGGCAGGAGGTAGTGGGCACTGGGACAGATGGAGAGGCAGGGATGAGTGTGAGCTCTAGAGTTGGTGTATGGGGAGGATTTGAGGAAGTAACTCTGCCTGATCTAGAGGAGGATGAAGAGTCCCACAAGATTCGACAGATCAGCAGCAGGAGCAGGAGGAGGAAAGAAATTCGCACGCATGGCAACTACAAGGTATCTTCATTTGGCTCATCCCAGTGAATTCACAGTTGTTTAGTTGTTAATCTCATTCTTTTCTTCAGGACTGTGATTGGCCTGAGAAAGATTGCTCATGTCCTTGTCATGACTCCAGCCATGATGCCAAACATCGCAGGCATAAGAGAAAGGGATGCTTGCGTTGTCATAGCAACAAGGTGCTCGCCGTGTTTGTTTTGTGGTTTGGCATAATTTGTCTTGAAATATGTTTTGATGGAGGCCATGTTTCCTTATATTGTTTTTTTATTTTTTGTCATCAGGCCACTAATGGCTCTAAGGTACTGAAGAGTCGCGATTCTGCGTTTCCGTCTGACAGGGGAGGGGAAGAAAAGGAAGAGGAAAGAGGACAAGGGGAGGATGGAGAGGCAGAGAAAGAGGTTAAAGAGGAGACTGGCAGTGGAGCAAACAGTCCACATCATGGTAAAGACTAATTTCTTTAATTTCTCTAAAATTTTTTGTTACTTTTAGTTAGATTTTTAATGTTTACAAGCAGCATCTACAGGCATTCTTACAGAGTTCTTCAAGTTATTTTTGACTGTTTTTTTAATATATTGTTTTTGTTCTTGATTTTTTAAGAACAATTTACTTGAAAAGAATTTACTGTTCAAAAGTTTGGGGTCAGCAATTTGTTTTCAAAGAAATTAATGCTTTTATTCAGCAAAGATGCATTAAAGGGATAGTTCACCCAAAAAAGAAAATTCTGTCATTAATCACTCACCCTCATGTCGTTCCAAACCCGTAAGACCTTCGTTCATCTTCGGAACACAAATTAAGATATTTTTGATAAAATCCGAGCTCTTTGACCCTCCCATAAACAGCGAGGGTTCTAACACGATCAAGGTCCAGAAACGTAGCAAAGACATCAGTAAAATAGTCATTTTAGCACTTTCTGTTCATTAAATAATCCTGAAAAAATGTATCAAGGTTTCCACAAAAATAAGCAGCACAACTGTTTTCAACATTGATAATAATAAGAAATGTTTCTAGAGCACCAAATCAGTTATTAGAGTGACACTGAAGACTGAAATAATAGCTGCTGAAAATTCAGCTTTACCATTACAGAAATTAATTTACATTTTAAAATATTTTAAATAAAAAAGTTATTTAAAATGGTAATATTTCACAATATTGTTTTTACTGTAAAAAACAACAACATTTTCTGTCATCCCCAAAACTTTTGAATGGTAGTTTACGTTGAGCAAATAATTTTTATTTGCTAATATTTAAATTAATATATAGTATATTGTTTTATGTATTACATGTAGTATAATATATATTTGTTTTAAAATGTAGGACTGATCAGTGTCATATCTACAGTGTACTGACTGTTTACTGGAAACAACAAAGATAAAAAAAATTCTTCACCTGATCTGCAGATGGTGATGGGCCCGTATGGGAGGGAGGAGAGAGACCCCCTTCCCCCATCCCAGAAGAGCAGAAAATACAGAACAAAGACGATGACAACAAGAAAACCGAAGAGGAGAGGCATCATACGACCACACAGAAGCACAGTAGGGATGAAGAAGATTCATCTGAATCAGGAGAGAGAGATACCACTCAGCAGAGTACACTGAGCCCAGCCTTAGACACACCTGTGTGTGCCAAAAACATCTCCCTCACTCCCAGTGGAGAGAGGGTCATTCTCTGGACCAGGTGAGCACAGCCACAGATCGGGATGGGTTTTTGAGCATCATCTGATGGTGCTTGTGTTTTACATGGCCCTCTTTTATCATCTGGTTCATAGGGAGGCCGATCGAGTGATCCTTACTGCCTGTCAGCAGCAAGGAGCCAACCAGAGCACCTTTCAGGCTGTGTCAGAGCAGCTCGGCAACAAAACAGCCAGTGAGGTACCACAATTATAAAGTTACAGGTCTTTTTTTTCTTCACAGCTTTCCTTTCTTTGCCTTTTTTAACAACAATGTCTCTGCAGGTTTCAAGGAGGTTTCGGGACCTGATGCGTCTGTTCCATACATCAGCGTGTCAGGCCAGCTCAGAGGACGAGGCTGCTGAGCAGCAGTCTGCCACTGATGAGGAACAGGACTGAGCCCTGCAGTCATAAAGGGTCAGACTTTTCTCCATCCATATGAACTGTTGACTGTGCATTAAAACACAAATGCAGTTCTTCTAGTTGGAGACTAGTCTTGCACATACACCCCATGTCTTGCACTAACACCTGTCAAAGACATATTTTAAGTATGGTGACAAAGGGTCGGAAGGTCTCTCTGTAACATATGAAGTATAAATCCACTAAATATGAAGGTGTTATCAAACAAATCCAGCATACACGGTTATACCTGAAGAATTGTAGCACAAAAATGGCTCAGGTTCTGACAGGGCCTGGTTATTGAATTACCATTGGTGGGCAAGTTTTATAGCCCTTTATTGAGCACAAAGTGAAATATTTGATTAGTCAAACGATGCAGGACAAAAAACTTTTCATTGTAAAGCACTAACCGGCAGATTCACACCAACATTGTTTCTAACAGATTGATTGTAAATTCTGTGAAAATATGAACATAGGGGGGCATGTACAGTATTTTTATAACGGTGATTTTGTTTTTGTTTTACTTCAGATGTTTGTTTTGTGAATGATGCACAAGTTGTTGGTAATCTGGAGAGACAATTAATAAAATGACTATTTATACTATTTATGGTTTTGTGCGAGACTTAATATTACAAAAATGTGTCTGTGTGTGAGTATATACATGTATGTTTTATGTCTGTTTTAATCTATTGCATCCTTTTATCTGTATAATTATTTGCTATTTTACATGAATATATACGTTAATGTTATTTTTGTATGTATGTGCGTGTGTGTGCGTGTGTGTGTGAGAGAGAGAAATACGTAAACGCGTTTCGTTAAGAGCGCTGCCGCTGACCCAGTTCGCCTTCCATAGTTGCCTATCTTGCCGGTGACATGTCTACTCTCTTGCTGAACGCGTGGTAGGGATTCTTTTATTTCGGTACGAGCCTAAAACTATTTATAGTGTGCTATCGGATTTATAGTTCTTTGACCGATTAAGAAATTATTTTGTATTAACGCATTTTTAAAACAGCTATGTGAAGTTGCCCGATCCGTGTTTTACTAACTGCTTCACATGTGCAGATTCTGAGAAGTTATTCTGGAAATGGCAGAAATGGTCCAAGAAAAGAATACAGGACTAAAATTCGCAGAGGAGCAGCTTCTGCGACACGGATGGGAAAAAGGTCAAATCAGAACAGATTTTAGGCCACGCGCAGGCGGTTTTCTACATCACAAACCCTGTTTATGTTACCGTGTAACTCAGTTTCTTAACTTTCATATAGATATAAACAATTCTCCTGCATAATCTTTGGCATATCCATGTAAATCGACTGACACATGCCAGGTCTGTTTGGTGATGCTAATATTTTGACTTGTGTTGTAGGTAAAGGTCTGGGAAGGTATGAGAATGGCATTTCAGAAGCTATTAAAGTCAAAATTAAATGTGATAAAGGAGGGGTGAGTAGAGAATATATTTTTGTTTTTAGATCATTGCATTGAATACAGCATGTGGGCAGTTGACAACATGGAAATTATGTTCGTTTATAAACATTTATTGTTATGTATAATGGACAGTTATGGTGCTCTAACTGGTTCACCATCCTAACCCATGTCAGTTTCCTAATGCCAGATAATAAAAAAAAACAGTATGTATTAGAAATGATGTCAAAAACAGTTTAGATAAAGTGTAGCATATCTCTCTACAGGTCAATAGTTTTTACATATATAGCTTTTACATTTTTAAGTTACCAGCTGTTATAGCCTTTATGCACATTATATTTGTATTTATTATGTACTGTTTGTATTCAGATGGGCCATAAGGAAGGTGAGCAGTTCAGTTTCCACTGGTGGGACCATGTTTTTAACAAAGCCTCGTCAGGTCTGGTTGTGGAATCAGGGCAGGTAAGTAATACGAAGAGGATTTAAATACATTTTTACCTCGACATCATCTCTTTACTGTAGCTGTTATTTTTTGTTAAACATTACGAATCACATTTTGCAACTATATTTATCACAGTTCAGTTTTATGTGTAACATTTATTTTATTGACATTTATTAAATTAGCAGACACTTATCCAAAGTCACTTACAAACAAAGAGCAATTTGTTACAAAGCCAGCAATATTCACAAATGCATTAGAAAGCTAGATTGCAGGGGTGAAATGCAGAAAATAAAGAGTTTTTTCATAGTTTGTGATTTGAAGACAATCTGACACCTCAAGTAAATAAAAAAAATTATTTAAGTTGTTGTAAAAAATGTATTAATTGAAGCAAATTATAGCAAACTGGGTTTTGTGTGAATGAGGGCGTGTTTGTGTTTTTGGCTCATCTGGTGTTGTCATTGTGGTTTAGAATGGTGTGGTGGTGAAGAAGTCAGATGACAGCAATGATGGATTGATCTCCAACAAGAAGCCACGCAAGGCTCAGCAAGCCAAGTCCATGCTCTATGGATGCTTTGTCAAGGTACAAATAATAAATGAAAAAAAAAAAAACAGCTGTGATTTAGTATTTGGATTGTGCAGTTGTTGTAAAGTCGTCTTTCTTCGTTCTTAGTCAGCTACACTGCTGTCAGGTGAGAAGCCAGAAAAAACCTCTGATTCAGATGACAGCAGCAGCAGTTCTGAAGATCTTTCCAGCACGACCAAGTATGAGCTGCCAATATTACAAAATTCTGAAACATTCAGAATAAACAGTATTTATTACATTTTTTGTTATATACTATCATTGTAGAATATTCTGCACTAAACATGCACTATCAAATGTTCCTTACTGTGGCATGCAGAAGCAATAAAGATTATTTTAAAATGTGTTAGATTTGAAGATCAGTTATTCTTTCAGGCCAGTTCAACTCTGTATTTCTGTCTGTCTCTTTTAAGACTATCAGATGCAGATCTGCTTGAAGCTTGCGGAGGACGAACAGCACACAAGTAAGCTCTGATCTCTTCAGGTTTGCACTGTGATGCATCCCAATCGGTGTTGTCCTTTCATCAATTCATGTTAGTCAAACTGGTTTAAATTGTAATACTAGAACGTCTAGCATTTACCCATTTCCATCATCACATTTGAGCAGGACATGAATCATAGATAGCGTAATATTATCAAAGCAGTGTTATTTTAGTATAAGTTGTATTGTAAATAACTTAAATTTGCACTTAATCTTTTTGATTTTAATTTTTTTAATGATTTTTTATCTTTTTATTTTTTAATGGTTTTTTAATTTTTTTTTATTTTAGTATTTAAATTATTACCAAGGCAACATTTCTAATTTTATAAAAAGTACATGCATGCCAGTTTTGTTGGTTACTTATATACATGTTTGTTTGTTTGTTGTGTGAATAGAGGAGCCAGACATGGACTCACTATGAGCGCCAAACTGGCCCGGCTTGAGCAGCAGGAGCAAGAGTTCATGAACAAGTATGGTAAGAAGAACCACACTGCTGAAACATCCACAAGCAGCACAGATTGTCTAAATTCTGAGGGATGTCCAGATATGAACGAGAAACGCAAGAAATCAAAAAGACAGGAGGAGCCATCGGAGAATAACATCCATGAAGATAAAATGACAACACACATCCTTCCAAGTAATGATACTGAGAACTGCAAGCCCAAAAAGAGGAAAGGCTTTAATGGTGCTTCCGTGAACGACGATATGATCGTAGATACAGAGCCAAAGAAGAAGAAAAAGAGAAATCGCAAAGAAAAAGAAGCAACTGAGGATTGTGCCAATGGAGACTGCAGCATAGACATGAACGAGGCATTCACACACACATCAGAGGAACGAGACACACACCTGCCAATGGATGACAGCGTGCACAAAAAGAAGAAAAAGAAAAAACAATCCAAGGTGGATGATGAGACGGCCAACACAGATGAGATCAGTGAGGATTCCACAGACACACAGAACAAACAGCCACAGGAGGGCAGTATTGAGCATCAACAAGCCTCTGACGGTGCCTCCAAAAAGAAAAAGAAATCCTCTATGGAGCACTACGAAGATGTGGATAACTCAACTACTGCGATGACAGTAACAGGGGACACTAGCAACAAAGCACAGATAATGGACACACAAACGGAAGGACAGGAGAACGACAGGAAGAAAAACAAAAAAAAGAAGCATAGCAAAAAGGAGCAGGAGGTGGTAGAAAATGTGCAGTTTGAGGAGTCTGTGCCAAAGAAAAAGAAAAAAAAGAGCAAAGAGTGAACTCGCATGCTGCTAAACTCACTACAAACACAAGCTGATCAGAATCTGGGCTGATGAAATGCAAGGATCAATTCTCCAGTATAGCTGTTCAGATCACGTTTGTTGTGCAGCACTCGTATTTATTCTTACAAGTCATGGGCGATTTTTAAAGCTTGAGACCCACGGGTGACATGAGATGTTTTTAATGGACTGATTTGTGAGACATTTGTGTAATGCATATTAAATGGCATATCCACAATGACAAAAGTGTGATGAACTGTGAACAGCTTGAAGTGATTTGTGTGGAACTTGAAACATTGCTAACAAATCAAACTTCAAATGAATTGGAAAATAAAGTTATTCTTGAGATGGTTGTTGTTTTGTCTTCTGCTCATGTTGAGGGGTCATTTGGGTTTGAAGGAAGTTAGGCCATGTTAAAACATCCGCTTCGCAGATCCATCTATTGTACATGTGGCATCTTGTTGATATCCAGCTTTTCAGTGGGTTTTTGCTGGTCATTGACAGAACACAGTCCATGTATCCTTCTGAGGGGCCACTGATCCAGAATCTGAAAGAAAAATATGGAAAGCATCAGATAATTGCTTTTAAATTGTAACTGATTTATTGTATTTTTTATTGATAGATTTTTTTTTCATGGTTTATCAAAAGGAAAGTTGTTTTCAATTAAAAAGGAAACTAATATTTATACTTTTACATAAACTGAAATATTTTTAGACTTACCCTCCCTCTAGTTTGGTGCCAGTGGTTCAGACCCAAGCGGTTTCTGACTTTTCAGAGAGTCCAATCCAGTACCCATGATTTTTATCATAATTCATCTGAATTTTTATTTTTGGGTGAACTATCCCTTTAAGTGCTAAATGTTGTTTCAGGCTTTGGTCTTACAACAATATTGTTGTATTTAGAGATTTGAATGTAGTCTGCAAGGCAGAGAAACAAAAAGAGCAAATTGTAGTTAAATCTTCTTGTAGACTATTTTTTAAATGCAATATAAAGCTCTGCGATATTTTAGTAGCAAGTTATGAGTTTAGGAAATGGGAATAGTCCATATTTAGTCATAAATTACACCATTAGCCTGTATTGCCCATATAAACTTGTAAGAAAGTGAGAAGCTTTTTAACAGACTTATGACAACAGGACACATGAGAAAGTGTCCAGTGTTGTCACACATCATAGTCTCACTTTTCTTGACACATTTGTAACACTTGTGTTACTCGACCACTTCTTTTTTCAGAACTAG